GCTCTTCAGTCAAGTGTGCTCACTACATACCAGCCACACGTCCACTTGCCTCTTTTTGTCTTATTTTTATATATTTTTCTAAATATGTGTATATATACAGTACATAGAAAATAGAACTTTTATTTTGAGACTAAAGGAAGATGGTGAAGCGGTCACATTACATATATATATATATATGGTGATCAGAATTTTCATACATACCACTCGGTCCCTGAAGAGGTCAGGATGATCTTTCTCCACAGATGAATTTTAACAGTGTTGATCATTTGGGATAAATTAATGTATATGAAATACTCCTTTGTCCGTGACAAGGCATACCACAAAATTATTCAGAGTTTAATCATTTCATTTGATTTAGTCTTGGATCCTTTACGTCATAAGGAAGACCTTGAGGGACAGAACACACCATTAATTTGAATACCACAGGATAGAGAAATGGAGGCGACTGCAGCATGACCAGAAATCCCTAGCCCCCTTTAAAAAAAAAAAAAATGATAGGAATAATTTCTGAAGAAACCAAACACAAAACAAAAATCTTTACAGTATTAAATGACTTATTTTCTTCTTGGCTAAATACATCATTGCATCAAAATACTAACAGTCTGCCTAAACACACTGATTGTACATTTCTCGGGCTATCCTTGAATGGGACTTTTAAAACAAAGCTGAATATTAGTGTGAACATTTTGTTTCATAATCAGAATTTAAAAATCTGAAACTGCAAATTTATTATAATGGCTACTTTGTACTGAAAAAATATGTAGTTCATGTTTTTCAATAGCACAGACACCAACTGTTTGTTATAAAGATAGAAAGCTCCAGCCAAAACTGTTACTGTGTTGTTTTTTTTTAAGAGGTGTTAGGAAAAAATTTAGGGGGCAGCCAGTGGTGTGGTAGTTGGGGGAGCTAAATCTCACATGGCTAACTGCACGGTTTGAGTTTCGGACCCAGTGGCTTGAAAAATACTTTGGGTGAGTGTTTGTGTATGCCCAAACTCCTGAGAGGAGAATGGAAAAAAAGAATTGTGGAGTAGCCATCTCCCTGCGGGGTGATTTTTCACTTTCTTCGTCTCTGTCTCTTTCCAGTGAGCACACATGCCCTATAGCAAAAACATTTTTAAAAAGAAACCTTTGGTTTTTATTTAGCACTACATAATCATTTGTGGTAGCCAGCCAGGTTTTCACAGGGTAGAAGTGGGCAATTGAGCATATGGCGGTGATCTCAGTTATAAATCATATTTGAACATGAATGGTATTATCTTACGTTGTCAGCAAGTTACCAAGCCATTTGTCAAGGAATTTGTAATACTAGATTGCTATTTACCTGCAACTGAAATGATTTGATACTGATGATAACTTCCTTTGAGCTCTACTATTCGTTATTTGGTAACTGTATTGGACTCTTACTGTGTTTGAATTTTATTTTAATGTAAATATATGTCACCATTTGTAAAACTCAATTTGTTCTTTGAGCCTGGTTGAAAATACCAGGAGACTGTTACAGATGCCAAATATTCTTTATTCAGGACAATATAACATAAACTGATGATATGAGAAAATGCTAAAAAAATTTTGGTGAAATATTTTATTTACAAAATATTATATATTGTTGGTATTATCAAATGAAAGGAAATAAAGTCCATTGGTAATTACCTCATATTGTTATTGTTGATATAGAAAACTATTACACAATCTCTTTAGAAACTCCCATGAAGTTGAGTGGAGTTGATAATGTGTATCACCAGTATTATAGAAGTTTGTGGTCTTTGGTTTGAGAGATGTTTGTATGAAAGGGAAGAGGCAACTAGGCTGGGAAGGAAGAATAGTGGAAGGAATATAAGAAAAGGAAAGAGAGGACTGGCCTCATGGCCTGGTGGTTAAGGGTTCCCACATGACTCCTGGCATGGCTAGAATCCCAGACCCAGCTGCTTAAAGGGTACACAGGGCATGTGTGCCTGCATGCCCAAATCTGAACAAGATGAGAAAATGGGAGGGGATTGCAGTATGTCCATGCCCCATGGGGAAGTGCCTTCTCCCTTTCTTTCTATGTCAAACACATTCACCCTCTAGCAAATAAAAAAAAAAAGAAAAAAGCAAACAGAAATGACTCGCTTGCGTATTTGAAGTTAGTTGTAGAAACACATGTGAATCTTAAAAGAGCTAGTATACTGTTAAATATTTTTAATTTGGGAAAAGGAAATATATCTTGGAAGACATTACCAAAGATTAAAAATCAAGTGAACATAAAACATAACAGATATTTTGGATGAAAATGGAATATCTCTAACTTAATAAGCCAGCCAGAATCTGTAGGGGCTCAACACACCCAGTTGATAAACAGGGAGACCTAGCGTGTTTGCTTAGCTGTGTGTATATATGCTTAGCTATCCCGAGGAAGCTGCAGAGTTAGAAAACTGACCACGTTACCAGATGTGACTTCATCGCAGAATTTATATTCTGAAAAAGAAGTCCTTCTGAGTAAGGTTTGCATGCTTGATATTTGGGCACAATATTGATTGGGTGCAGAAAAAATGGGGCAGAAAACTTCTCAGCCGTTGGCTCTGAACGACAGCAAAGAGGTTCTCAGTGTGTGTGAGGTGGTTAGTGAAGCAATAATCCACGCGGCTCAGAAACTGAAGGAGTATCTTGGATTTGAATACCCTTTGAGTAAACTTCACCCTGCTGCAAATACGCTAAATGAGATCTTCTTAATCCACTTCATCACTTTCTGCCAAGAAAAGGGAGTTGATGAGTGGCTTACTACCACCAAGATGACCAAGCACCAAGCCTCACTGTTCGGGGCGGACTGGGTTTGGACCTTCTGGGGATCGGACAAGCAGATACGGCTGCAGCTGGCTGTGCAGACTGTGCAGCTGCCCTCTCTTCCTCTTGTGGAATCTACGCCTTGTGACCACTCCAATCCAGAACCAACGGTAGAGGTCACTTCCTGGAAGAGAAGTCGATTCGATAAACTGGAAGAATTCTGCGACTTGATAGGAGAGGATTGTCTGGGCCTGTTTTTCATCTTTGGCGTGCCAGGGAAGCCTACAGACATCAGAGGTGTTATCCTGGACAGTGTCAAAAATCAGGCAGTGAGGAGCCAGCTGCCTGGAGGGAAAGTGGTGGCGAAATTTCTCCAGGAAACTGAAGACTGTGTCTCCATCAGAGAGCTGCTTGGAATCTGTCTAAGTAAGAAGGGTGGGCTGAGAGAGCTGGGCAAGGTTTACATTAGCATCCTCTGAACAGGATACGCGAGGGTGACTGCCTGTGAGATGGAGAGACGGCGTTTTTGTTTGTTCTGATAAACTCATTTACTTGCATCATTCCAGCATGGGATTTTATTGTTTTCCTTTTATTTTTTGCCTTTGAAAATTATTACCTGGGTCAAAGCATATTATCATTACAATTTTTGAGAGGGGGAAAGAAAACCCCTTAACATACCTATTTTAGGAAAACGTATAATTTGATCTATCGCTCATTTATTCAATAATAAAAATGGGCACAGAGGATAATAAAGTCATGCTTAATATTTGATTTACCAGAAAAAGTGTCTTTGTTTAAGAAATAAGTTTAGCACTTTATATAATATGTCTTTACTACTGGTGGGAATTGAGTGGGTAAGTTAGTTGGGTAAGGATACAGAGCAGGTTTAATTGTTTATAATACCAGTTTTATTAAGTTTAGAATTCCTTATTTTTCCTTAAAGAATTATTTTATTTAACTTTATTCATTTTTTAAATGTATTTTAATTTAATTTTACCAGAGAGGGACGGAACAAAAGGGAGAGAGAAGGAGAAAGTGAGAAAGCAAGCCGCCAGGTCTGGGACTCAGACCGTGGTCAGCCTTGTTGGAGTCCAGCGGCATTAACCACCACACCTACTGCCAGGCCCCAGTTCAGGATTCCTAAGCAAAACTTGATACCACTCTTTCACCCCCTACCCTTTCTCCTGCCTCCTGTCCAGCTCTTTTCTCTGCACAGAAAGGACTTCACTGGGATTTACTTTAGGATTCACTTGAAAGATAGCTTTATGTATGATTTTAAAACAGTCATATGGCCTGGCCCTTTAGCCCAGTGGTTAAGGGAGCCAGATTCCACATGGCCAATCATGTTCAAATCCCTGCCCCGGCAGCTTGAAAAACACACTGGGCACGTGTATATGCATGCCAAAAACCCCAACAGGATGGAGAAAGGAGAAGGTATCGCAATATGGTCGTTCCCCATTGGGAAGGTACTTTTTCACTCTATTTCTGGCAAGTGCATGTGCCCTGTAGTAATTAACAAAAAACAGACACCCATATAACAATTCCTTATAATAATATTTGGTTAACATTTGCGGTAAGAGGGGCCAGTAGGTGGCCTGGTGGTTAAGGGGCTGGACATGCCCACATGGCCAACCACAGTTTGAGTCCCAGACCTGGTGGCTTGCTTTCTCACCTTCTCTCTCTGTGTCTCTTTCTTTGGTAAAATTAAAATAAAATGAATGAATGAAATGAAATAAATTAAAAAAAAAACATTTGCAATAAGGAAGGTATATTCATGCATAGTAACTATTTTTCCATAAAAACCTGAATTGGAGGGATTGTAATAGTACAAAAAGGAATCATCATTATTAATTGAACTTGTAGACCATGCCAGATGTACATTTATCATTGTGACATTGTGATTTATACATACCCTCTGCAACTCTTTTTTTTTTTGGAGAGGTTTTTGCTATAGGGCGCGTGCGCTCGCCAGACAGACTGAGAGAGACAGAGAGATAGAAAGCAGGAAAT